TCTGGCTCCACAGACAGTGCTATTTCCATGATACTACTCTAGGCCAAGAGACTATTCTAGGGTCAATGCATAAATAAAGTAAAAGAGGAGCGAGCCTTCCTGCCTGCAACAATTTCAGAAATGTTAGAGAAGTTCCTCTCCTAAATTAATTAATATATTGGCTGATGAACATCACTTAATACACATTAGATTATGCATCATGTCCAGCAGATCTTAGTAATGAAGTAAAGAAATGGCATTCCACTTCAAGGGAAAGAAAGGAGCTTCCGTAATGGGAATGAAAAGGTATCAAACGAAATGATAGATTAGGGAAAGCAAGATTGCCTGAATTTACAATTTTTTTCTAAGTAGACCCAAAACTGGTTGAACTTAATGACTCAGCTCTGCCTCAAGGATGTAATTTTTTTAAAAATCTGACATTGGGAAATATATCTTCTTCTTTACTATACTTAACAAAGATACTACTTCCTAAGAGCTGCACCTGAACAGAACCTTGAGAAATCTTGCTCTTCCTGTCACCCAACTTATCTCTAAGCCATAAGCATTATTGTTTTTATCTTTAAAAAAAACCTTCCAGGAAGGTGGTTCTTCAGCACTCTTCAACGTTCCATATGGAGAACTATTTTTCAACCAATACCACTCTGCAGAATCCATTTTATGATTCCCAGGATAAATGCACGGCATTTTGCCTAATTCTTCAGCCCACATTGGAAAGTAGGATTGAAAAATCCCATATAAGTAAATACTCCATGAGTTTATACAGGCTGAAGTCACTGAGCTCAGAATATTACCCAGTTCCCCAGAGAGCCTACTGCAGCATGTGAACCATGGCTTTAAAGAGATGTGCCAAGATGCTGACCTCTTTCCCTTTGAGAAACAAGGGTGGGAATGGAAGATTCTGAGCCAATTCTGGTCACTGGGATGGGTAGAGAGTTGGGCTGAGCGAAACTTGCATTCAATCTTAGAGGCAGGTCAGCTGGAAGCAGATGCCAGCAGCCAACCTGGCAGCAGAAATCTGGCTGTTCTCAGGTGGTGAGCAGTGTTTTCTGTCTGAATGGGGCTTGGTGGCATCAACATGAGCCCACCTGCTATCTTTTGAGCTCCATGTGTCCACTTTCACTGGCTCCTAATTTGCCTCTTCCTCCCAGGGAAGCAGTGCAGTGAAGTGAGGAGTGCTGGATTTGGAGTACTGAGAGATGAGTTTTGTGGGTCTCTGACTTCACATACTCACAACATTTTTAATCAATCCATTTTTAAAGTCTCTGTTTCCTCATCTCTAAAGTAAGGGGTCCAGAATTTATAACCCATTCTCCTTTCAAGCACTGAGATACATGAGTGTATTCTCTGAGTCATGGACAACAAAGGCCAAGGTTAAATTCCAGGATTCAGAGAGTCTATTCTAATAGAACTCATATGTGGCAGAATTTAAAAAGCTGCAAACTGGACATAAGACATAATAAGACAGAGGGACTGAAACTTACCTCTCTGGACTCCTGGTACCTTTAGAGTTGCACTACTTTATTATCAAATCCTATGGGCAAGAGGAAAGGAAAAATAATTTGTATCAGACATGTCTCCTAGAGGGACCTCCCTACCCATGGTTGTATTGAGAAGGCAAACCTGGGTCACTATGTTGAATGCTATTGGGCTCCACCCGAATCTAGCCATAACTGATGGGACAGGGTCCGAGAAAGCAATCCATGTGCTTTCCAGTGAATCTCGGACCAAGCAGAGTCCTCCATCAAGAATTTAAAATTTGAGAACTGGATGATTAAGCCAGTAAGAGAAGGGACAGGAACTGAAACAGTATCCTGGAAAAGTGTCTAGAGAGTCCAGGGGCAATTTTCAGGGTGGATCATGAGTAAGTTAAAGCTATGAGGGAGCATAAGTTATGGGTGAGCAAAGGAGTGGTCCTGTGGTACCAGAGATGGCCCTCCCAGTCCACCAGTCCTCTTGGCATTCATGCCCTTTCATAGTCCTCTCACTTTGAATTGGGACTAACCCTACAACTGGTCAAACATGGTGGAAACAACAGAGCATGGCTTCCAAAAATAGGCGGTAAAAAGCCTTCAGCTTCCACCTGGGTATCTTGGGATGTTCTGTTAGAACCCAGCTGCCATGCCAAGAGAAATCCAAGCCACATGGAGAGGCCACACAGTTACTGGAATTGGCAGCCTCAGCTAAACTCCCAGCCAACAGTCATGTGAGTAGGACACCTTGCAAGTCTAGCTAGGTTGAGCCTTCAAATCAATCTAGCCCCAGCTGCCACCTGACTGCAACTACAAGAAACACCTTGAGAAAGAACTACAGAGTGCAGTCAACCCACAGAGGCATGAGAAACAGTGATAATTGTTCTTTTGAGCTACTCCATCTGGGAGTGGTTTGTGGCATAGCAACAAGACCATAGAGAAGGAAATCGCCATAAATGTTAGGTTGGTGCAAAAGTAACTGTGGTTTCTGCAATTACTTTTTGTGGCAAAAACCAGGATTATTTTTGCACCAACATAATATATACACCTACTATATACTCACAAAATCAATTTTTTTTTTTTTGAGACAGAGTCTCATTCTGTCACCCAGGCTAGAGTGCAGGGGCGTGATCTCGGCTCACTGCAACCTCCACCTCCTGGGTTCAAGTGATTCTCCTGCCTCAGCTTCCCAAGTAGCCGGGATTACAGGTACCCACCACCACACCCAGCTAATTTTTGTATTTTTAGTAGAGACGGGGTTTCACTATCTTGACCAGGCAGGTCTTGAATTCCTGACCTCGTGATCTACCCGCCTTGGCCTCCCAAAGTACTGTGATTACAGGTGTGAGCCACTGTGCCCAGCCAAAAAAATGTTTTTAAAAAAGAGACGATATTGGATGGACGGAGAGAAGACACTCTCCAAGACAGATATTGGTGCCCAAGATTTCCAGTCCTCAACAGAGCCACATCTGTCTTTAAAACAGCATTCTTTTATTTGAAGCAATCTGAGGGGATCCCTTGTCCTTATTACATAAACAAACCAACTAAAGTCCAACTGGAACAAGACAGAAATAGATACCTAGTGAGTAGAGAGTCTAGGACAGTGGTTTCTGGAAGCTAGTCTATGAATAATTACTTGTACAAACAAGGTTTTTACAACTCTGTAATGTAATAAGAAATATAAAAACAATGTAAGAATTTACGTTCATGAACCTAACTTTATTCACACTAATAAAGGCAGCCTGTAAAGTGATCTACTCTGAGAGTCTGAAATATGAAGCAGAAGAGCATCAGATCCCCAGCACCAAGCGTTACTCATCAGATTCCTGGTCATCAAGAGATGGAGACATTTATGTCTCTCCCTGCCTCTCCTCCCCCATCTTCCTTTTTCTCCCTGTAAGTCCCAGAAATGCAACGGCTGAAAATTGCTTTTACCTTCCCTTCGTGGTCAGCCTGTACTCTGCTTAGGGAAGAACCCTTACTTCCGCTATGTTATGTCCCTTTTCCTCTCTACCCCGGAACTATGGCTAGGCATCAATAGCAGATGGCAAGAAAAGGAAAAACAAATATTGGGGAAAGGGAGAGTATGCATAGCTTTTATCAGAGTCAAAAAAGAAGCCCCCAGTAAGACAGGTGGAGAATCTATTATTTCTCAATGTCTTGGCCTTGTTCTAAACTTTACCTATATTTGAATAAGATAAATAGATAGATATCTGTTAAACAAGATGCCCTCTCCCATCTAGCTCCTCCAACACCTCACATGGTGTACATTACAGTAGTTTAAGGGCTGCTGCTTTTCACAAAGACAAAAGAACAGTCCTTCCACAGGCTCCACCTCGCCCAAGGTTACAGAGAACCTGGAGCTGGGGCCCATGGAGTTCCCTGCCAGCCTTCTCTTAGGTAGGAGATCAAAGCCTGGGCAGAGAGCCTGCCGACCCTGATTTGCATCATGAAAGTCACCTGTCCAGCTCTGCCCCAGAGGCAGAGAGATCAAAGCTGGGAGGGCAGCTGGGAGTAGGGAAGGAAATAAAATATTGATTTAATGAGATGCATGGTAATTCTCCCCCATCCACCTTCTCAGTAATGAAAGTGAGGCTGTGAAGTGACCATTATCCATGCTCCTTCCATGAACCCACATTATGGCTCCCACTTGCCCTGCCATATGGGCCTCATGCAGCCTTTCCCAGAAAAAGAAAAACAGGAGGGAAAAGACTGAGAGAGGCCATGCAATCAGATGGTTTCCCAAGCACCTCCACCACCTTGGTGGAAGTATGCCATAAGGAGGTGTGTTCTGAACTGTTTCAGTCCCAGTTCAAAAATAATTACATGCAGAAACTCAAAATCTAAAACAGATAAAAGAGCATCTGCTCAAAAAGACGTGGGGGAAGGGTACTCTAGAGCCCCGATGCTTCTTCGCTAGGAACTGAAGCATCCACAGAGGACAAATGGAAAATGACTTTGCTAACTTTGAGAATTTATATTGCTGAAATGCTCTGAAGTTTACCATACTTGAGCTGGACTTCAATTAAATGGGGTGAGGGTGGGCGGAGATGAGAATAAGAAGGCATGTCAAGCTTGGTGGCAAGCTGAGATCTTAAAGCAGCAGACAAAACTCAAGTAATGGGCGTATTTTCTGGCTGGAAAGGCAAAGGGGCGCAGAGACATATTGATTTCGAGGTCTTGGGGGAATTCTCTGTCTGAAACTCTTGCCGAAGATGACGTCATTGACCCTCATCAGAGGCCGGGCCCTGGGGAGCTGTGGCTCACCACAGAAGCAGCTATAGTTTCTGTGTAAGAGGAGCCAAAGCCCTTTTGGCCCTGGCTGCAGAGTGTGGGCGGGCAAACGGAGGATTTAAGGATTAAGTGGTGAAAATGTTAAGTGAGCACGGGCTACTTATTCATTGTCTAGATTTTAACATCTTTCAGCTTCTTTACTCCAATACCCAAGAAGGACCGTTTATGTGTTTGTTCATCATATTTCTTAAAATATGATTAAGTTTGTCTTTAAAAAAAACTGACCTCTCTCCCCAGGACAGTTACCCTGGTGCCATTTGCCATCTGGTCAATCTGGTTTCCAACTGAATTTGACTTGCCTAGCCACCGTGAACTTCTTACTGGTTTCCAGCCATGTCAGGACCTAAATGAAGGGTGCTTCATCCTTTATCCTGTATATGCACATCATGCTCTTCACAGATGGTCTTTCCACCTTTTTACAGCAAAGTACTGCCATCAACAACAGGGAATTTGGGATTCTGGGTTCAAATTCCAGCTCTACAATTTACTGGTTATGTGACTTTGGGAAGGTCATTGAAACTCTCTGAGCCTCAGCTTCTGTGTTTATAAAATAAAGCAAGGATGAAAAGAGACAACAGATATGCAGCTACCTCTGTGCCCAGCAAGAGTTGTCATTTGCCTGGCGAACTCCAACACCATGCTTCAACATGGAGTTCTGGGGAAACAAGCCCTGAGAATCGCCAGTGACCGGGGGCTCACTTCTTCCCATGCAAGTGTCTGCGTGGTTGATAGAAAGTTGCCATCGCATTGCAGCAAAACTGACTTCCACCAGCAGATGCCAAGAAGTGAGCACGCCCCACTTCTGTCACACTGTTTAGGGGAGATAGACCATCTGCTGCCCGAGCGTCCTTCCTAAGGAGTCACAGTGGAGCCAGGAGGATGAAATTTGCCTCTTCGAGATTCCATGTGGATCCAAACAGGAAGAGAAAGTCGCTGAAGGTCTCCTTTTCCCCTATCTCTGAATCCAACCATCTCATCTCCAGTAATGCAGCAGCCCAATGATTTTCAAGCCCAGTTATTCCTGACACCTTTTATCTAGGCCCAAATGTTCTTTCTTTGCCAAGAATCCACCCAAAACGTCTGGATCTCTGAAGGTAAAGCAGGTATATTGAATGCTAGAATCTAATTAAGGAAGGAGAAAAAAAAGAACCCTTAGAGATAGCCTGAAGACTGGCTGTGATCCAGAAGCCTGATGGGCTTATATTTGTGGGGCCTTGGGGTGATGGGGTAGAATGTTCCAGTGGGCAGGATGTAGACAGCAAGAGAAGTGGAGCCTGCAACATTCAGGGTGTCTGTCCCCAAACCCAAACCCAGCAAGGGGAAGAGCTGGAACCTCCATGGTATTAAACTACACAAAAGCAAAAGAAGAGACCAAAATAGTCTGATAGAGATTTAAAACAAGATGGCCCTGCAAATATGTCTCAGTCAGAAGAATTTTCTTGGCTTCTGATACTTCTCAGCGCTCCCTAGGATCCCGCATTTTCAGCAGACCATCAGCCCCAAAACACCTAGGCCACACAAAGATATCATTCATTCATTCATTCATTCACTCACAAATCTGTATTGTAGGTCGAGTACACTGCAGACACTGCTCTAAGGCACAATTAGACACAGTCAAGAAAACAGATGACAATTCCTGCCCTCATGGAGCTTACATTCTAGTGAGGCATTCTTGTCTGGCTAATGCAGAACACATCATTGAGATTCAAGGCCAGGATTCATAAACCCAATACATCCAGGGGCTGGACAGGGAACAGCCACGGGCAGAGTGATCCAGTTGCAAGGCAATAGGGAATGGCATGGACTGTGGGGACCAGAAATCTCATACCTCATCTAAAGGAGGAAGCTGCTGTTTGGTTCCAGGCCATTGTCTCCACAAAAGAATATAATGTCATTGCTTCCAGATTTTCTGGTTTTTCAGTAGAAGTAAAAAATCTAGAATTCTGTGAAATTATCCGATTTTTAAAACCTGGAACAAATCAAACTAACCATATGTGACAACCAGTTCCCATCTGAGAGACATCTGCTTGTGACTCTCACTCTTGATGTCCAGTAGGGATTGGTGGGCATTGAGGGATTGAGTAGATCAATTACAAAACCTGGATCAGAAAAACATGGTCTCAAAGCAGCTTCACCCTTTGCTACCAATGTAGTAAGGTGACTTTTTAAAGGCAGGTCATTTGGACTCCTGAGTCCCCCTCCTTTTTTTCAATCTGTAAAACAGGAATAAAATCATAGAATTGTTATTCATTACAGGGTTCTGGCAGGAAGCAGGTGCACATTCAAAGGTTTCAAGTGAAGGAGTTTAATTGTTCTATTGACAGAGGCATAGACAGAGGTCAGTGGGGAATGTCTAAGAGCTGATGAAACACCCTGGGACTAGAAATACCAGGGAGCCATTACTACGCCTGGCCTGAAGGAGTAAAGGGAGAAAAAGATCCCAGATTCTGGTGAGAGATGAAGGGAACTTGGCAGGAACTGTGGTCCTAACGGGATGCCAACCCTGCCAGTGCTGAAGGAATAATACCCCTACCTGACAGTCTCTCCTTCTAATCTCCTGCTGCTGCCTCTTATTGGCCCTACCAATCTAGAAGCCAGAAGGCAAGCAAGCTTGGGTGGTGTAGTCTGCAGAGCTCAGTCTCACAGGGCCCAGGTCAGGGTGAAAAAGAGCAGAGCAAGGGTCAATGGATCTGGAAGAGCGCACAGTTGTCCTTTACATCTCCTTTCAGTTGAGTATGCACCAATCCTCTTTCTCACTCTCTCAGCGTCCTAGGGGGAAACAGTCTGGTGGAGTCCTCTCCACTCTACCTAAAAAATACTCATGACTCTGAACTTGTCAAGCAAACTGAGAAGTGCTCAAAGGGTGATTTTTTCTGGGAAAGGCTAGGGCATACACACTAGATTCCCCCATGGAAGGGCTGGGCTCTACGCAAACCTCAGAGCTAAAGTCACAGTTGGTCAAAATGATTAATCATGAGGACTCGTCTTCATTTCAGGTCACCAGGATAGGAGGCTTGCCAAAAAAGAATCGAGCGAGGGAAAGAGTCCACTCAAAGTGAGGAGGGGAAGGCAAGGGAGTGGTGGGTAGCAGGCTGACCTTCTCTATTGCCACCTTGGGCTGGGAGTAGAGGGCTGAGTAAGAAAAAGTGTGATCCAGAAAAGCTAAACCTCAAGCAACACATGTGTTAGGCTGTAAGTAACTGAAAACTCACTGGTGTAACCAAACAAATCCGGAGGTTAGGGCAGTGATCAGTGTGGCTTGAATAGATCTGTGCAACTATGGCTGTGGGTCCTGCCTTCTTCCACATGAGGCTTCCTCCTCTGGTTCATCATGGGAGGGCTGCCGCAATCTCAGGACTCCCATCCAGACATGACAGTATCTAGAGGGAAGAAAAAATTTAGCTTGTGTTAACTCAGAAAGCACGCTCTTTTTCAGATGCATCCTTGAATCAGTTCCTCTAAGAAAATACCACATGATGATTGCCTTAGGTCTGGTTACGATAAACAATTTCTATAGCAACAAGGGTGGGTGTGATTTCTCTGACGGAGTGACAATTTTCTCAATTCTCTCGTGGCTGGTACATAATTAGTACTATTTAGATGTATAGGAGAGAAAATAATTCATTACTTACAATGGATGTCTGGGGGCATTTAGACTTAATTCTCTTGATGAACCCCATCAAAAACAATAATCAAATTTCAGTCCTTTTTAAAAACAAAGGTTTATTTCTCATTTATGCAAAGTGTCCAGTGAGGGTTAATGCGGAGTTTTCTTTGCCCCAAGTCTCCTCCCCTAGAGACCCAGGCACATAGAGCTTTCACCATCCAGAATGTCCCTGTTTGTCAGGGCAGGAGGACAAAAACTAATTTTCACCCGGCCACGTAAGCTTCCACCTGGAAGTGACATATGTCAATTTCACTCAGTGGAATTTTAGTGACCAAAGCAAGTCACACAGCCACTTCTAACTTCAAGGCAGTAGAGCAGTGTAACTTTACATTATGCCTAAAAGGAGGAGAAAGCAAGTTGGCAGTGCATATTAAGGAACTAAAGGGAAGTTTATATGCTTCTTCATGTTAAACCCTCAGGAAGTAGAGACTCAGAAAATGATTTATGTACAAACATGTATGTTGAAGCACTGCATACACAAACAAAAAATAAAAACAGAAACTATCAGAACATCTAACAGTGAGGTAATTCTTAAATAAATCAATCTAGCCATAGGAGGGATAATTTTCTCGTGTTCTGAAGTGTTGCTTTTGAAGAGTATTTAATGATACAGGAAAATTCTCACAATAAGTTAAAGTGAAGTAAAGGATAAAGAATTGCACTGTTTTATTAATATTAATATAAAAATAAAGTACCAAGAAAACAGACAAAGGAAACATACTAAAATATTAATGATGGCTATCTCTACATTAATGTTATTGTTTTCTTTGTGCTTTTTAATATTTCTTTAGTTCTCTATGTAGATGAGTAAATTTTTAAATAATCAATTTAAGAAGGTTATTTAACATAGAAATATATGGATGTTTATCACAGTAATTTTTGTAATAGCAAAAATTGTAAACATCTAAAATCTACAAGAGGGAGTTGGTAAAAAATTACAGTGCAGTCAAATAATAGATTATGAAGAAGCATTTAAAAATTAAGATCTATTTGGTCTGCTATGGAACATTTGCTGAGATATATTAAGTAAAAAAACATGGTGCAGAAAAGCGGGTATAGTACACCGCCATGTATTTAAACGTGTATGCATACACACATTTTTTAAAAGAATGCACAAAAAACTGCTAAAAGTGGTGCCTTTGGGTGGGGAAAACTAACAGACTGAAGAAATGACTCATAGCTGTCTGTGGAAGGATGACTTTCAATTTTAAGTCCTTTTTTTTTAACCCCATGTGTGCATTATTTGAGTTCTATTTTATAAAAAATTATAAACAAATAAATAAATCAGATGCCAGCTCTGGCAGATATGTCATAACTGCAGGTTACCCTCCCTGCCCTTTTCCTGTCTTTAGGCTATTTCACTCAATGCCTCAGTCCTAGGCTGGACTGTAGCTACAGTTTAACAAGGCTTAGGGATTGAAAATGAATTTCATTGATCTGTCTGCCATTCTGAGCACAAATAACAAAGGGTCCCCCAAAGTTGTCTGACTCAGGTATAGGAAATACCAGTCATCTTTTCACCTGGGCTACAGGCAGCTGACACTTTTCCCAGGGACCCATGAACTAAAAACACACAGGCCTCCACATGGCTGATAGTCAACAATTCCTGCAAATAGTTGACATTGTGGGCCCATGCCTTTGTGTCTGCTCAGAACCATTTAATTCTTGGGAGTTGCTTATATTCATAGATATCGAACTGGACCAATCACTGTAGATAACTTCAGGGTCAAACTTTCTGAAGAAAGAGCGGCACCAATACTGATACAGGAAATCCAGCTCCCAGCCCCCTGGAGCAAGGCATTAGAGAATGGCTTCTGGTAGTTCCATGTCCCAGGACAAATTTGGTGACAGGACAGTCAAGAGTAGAAGAGATTTTGTACCTTAACTTTGTTCTGAAATTAGGCTCTGTAGTTCTCTAGGCTTTGGCCTTTCAAACTTCTCCTAGTACGGCCAACGCATATGTTCCCTCCTTCCATCTCCACTGGGAATGTGTTGTGATAAGTGTTACTTATTCATGCAGCAAATCCCTGGTCCAGGCACTGGGGATACAGTAGTAAAGAGATCCAAGTAGGAAACAACTCTGCTCATAAATTATTTAAAAATTTAAATATATAGGATGACACAAGTGCTATGGAGAAAAATTAAGCAGAGATGTGGACAGGAGGTGCCAGAAAGAGGCCTCACTCCAAAGATGAAGCTCTGGTGAAAATCCGAGGGCAGCAGAGAGGGCCTTTGACATTGTGAGCCCAGTGTGGATATGGGGGATGTGTGTTTTGGGAGAAGTGGCTGAGTTTTACCCCTAGTTTGGCAGAAGGTAGAAGTAGTCAGCCAGTGGAGAAGCAGAAATAATGTTTCAATATTTCTGCAATAAAATGTTTTAAAATTTTATTTCTGAGATCTGAATAGTTATGAGAAATAATATAAATGTTCAGCAGCAGTTATATCATGGTATAAGCATGAAGTAGACTATAATCTAGTCACTAACAACCCTGGATTGGCAAGAATATTCAATAAGGTGGGATTTTCTTCCACAACGTAAAACATTGAGTGGGAAAGGCAGAATGCAAAATTATCATCACATTTGTCATGCTCACTGTAATAACCTAGTGTGGCACCCAGAACACTGGTTGGTACATAGTGGATATGCAATCAGTAGTGATAAATAGCTGTTGATTAAGTTAATTGCTGAGCATAAGCATGGTGGAAAAATAACTGGAAGAAAATGCATCAAATTATTAACAGTGGTTGGCCCGCAGTGATGGAATTCTTGATAATTTTCATCGGTGAATTTTAAAGCTTCCCAGATGATTCCAATATGATGCCACGGTTGGAAAGGACTGTTTTACGCAAGTCCAATTTTATTATCTGAGGTATGTATTTCAATCCTCCATGCATAGATAAGGAACTGAAGTTCAAAGAGGCGAGGGTCAGCTTGCCCAAGGCCATAAGGTAGGCAGTGAGAGAGCAGGTGATCTAGCCCCAAACCTTATGGAACTCACTTAGCCTGCTATTTTTACTTGAAACAGCTGATACCCAAGGAAAGCTCTGGGAGGACTTCCCCAAGGCACAGACTGGTCACTGGTGAGTCAGTACTCAACCTGAAGTTCCTACACACTGTTTGGGATTCTTTTCAGACACCTCATGCTGTTGAGACAGGGAGAGCAGATGGCAAGTAAACATCACAACTATGACAGGGAGTTTCACCTCTGATCAAGCTCGGTCAGAATTCCAGGTCTGGTTCCATCTAGTCCTACCTTAGTGAGAATGCAGAGGCTTCCCTCTCATGCCAGAAGCTGACCTCTAAGAGTGCAGCATCCACCCTTCTCTTCAGGATACATGAGAATCCTGGGAACCCATTAAATAAGGGTTGTCTGCATGGGGTGCTTGAATGGAGGCCAGGCAACATCTTAAGCACAATTATTACTTGATTATGGGGACTTTCTGGCTGATGATTGGTCATCCTCACTGGGTGACAGTGACAAAGACAAATGGGTGCTACCTTGGCTGCTATTTAACTCTGCCAACGGGTAGTTTCTGCTGTGTTGGCTGTGTTGGAAGCTCCTAGTTCATCATTCTCTAACTGTGGGGTCTCCCTCGTTTTTCCTCAACCCAACTGCCTTTAGTTTTAAGGTAGGAAAACTGATCTAAAGGTATCCACTAGAAACTTCCTTCCATCTCGCCTTTTGGAAATATATAGCATAGATTTTTGTGGGCTTTGCTTCTTGTTTCTGCAGTGGGTGACTCAGGCCTTGTGACAGAAACAAGGTGGAGGATGGACAAGCCTTCAGGGTTATACTTCTCTTGTCTTATTGACTCAAATGTAGAGAGGAAACCAAGATGACTGGCAAAGCAATACCTCCCTGTGACAAAGGCAACAGGCCAAGAACCTCAAGGTAGTTTTTAGAATGCTGCTTTTTACCCCTGGGTGATATATGTGAAAGAGAACTGAGTATTGTCAATATTATTGCAACTATTATCTACTGTAGTCTATTAAACTAAAGCTTAAAATGAATCTTCTGTCCAGAAGCCAGCCCCTCCAACAATTGATTTCCTTTTCAGGCAGGCCAAAGAATTCCCTTGGAAGGATAAAACTACCAGGCAGTCTGAGCTGGATGGACCACGCTGGTGCAAATGCAAAAGGTCACCGTTGGACTTGGCCAAGCTGGTAAATGTCAATAAGCTGGAGATCTTGCAACTTCAGCTTCTGCATGTTGGGCAGTACACCTCACCATCAAGCCTGGGCCCCCACCTCTGCAGCCCATGCTGACCCAGCTTGTCCCACTGAGAGACCCCTTCTGAATTGTTCACATGGGAACCTATCCATCCAGAGTTCTCAACATAACAAAAGCTCTGGTCAGGCCTTTTTGTAAGCTAGGCTTTTTCTGCATATAACCATTTACAGATTTGAGCCTTTCCTTCCTTGATACGAGGAAAAACAATAACTGAGAAGCTCGTGAAATTGCAAAATCATGGAACGCAATTCTCTGTACCCTTTCTACAGGCACACCCTCTCAGCTCCATGAAGGAGCCCAATTCTTCGTTGTTCCCAGGGCTTTTTGCCAAGAAGTGAACTTCAAAGAAATAAGATCATAAAGATCCACATATCAACAAGTCCATAGAAGCCCCTGGGAATCTCATTGGAATGGGAGACCTAACATATCCTAGACATTAACTTCCCCAGGCATTGGCTCAAGCCAGTTGAGAACTTGTCTT